TCGCAGGACGGCAGCATGACGGAGGCAAAAACAAGGAGAGTCACCCTGAGACAAAGGGACAGAGCAACCCTCAACTCGCACAAAGCGAGAGGGGACGCAAGGGTCTCCACTATCGGACCCGAGAGCCCCCGGGGGGTTTCCCAGGGCCCCTAGACTGGGTCTGCTAAGGGTTATCCCAGGCAGGGTACTGCTAACCGGCGCCCCAAACTACCAAGCAAACTGCTAAAGCTGAACCCACGGGACGTGTCCACTCGCGAGGGCAAAGCAGGGGGTGCCTCCACACAAACGAACCTAATATAAGGGGGGGGGGGGAAACACAAGGAAGACCCCCCTACCAGGCAAAAACAAAAATAAAAGAAAAAACACACAAGTGGACAACGTACCCAGAGGGAACAGAGCCAGCCGCTGTCATAGGTGAAAACTAGCTACGCAATACCCTGCGCCCCACCAGTGCGATAATTACCACTTACCCCAAGGTAAACAAGGGAGTGAAACCCCCAAACCCAAGGGGCGGCCAAACGCCAAGCAGCGAAAGGCCAACAGAGGTGACTTGTGGAAGGCAACCCCAAGCCCCAAGGGCGGTACTTACAGGGCACTCAGGGAAGGTGACCCTAAGCACATGCAGCCCGAGTACCTGAGAATACTACTCCCAGCTCACACGACCACCGTAAGAGCAGCACTGCAAACAAGTCACAGCACTGAGACAAGACTGGAGCTGGAGCCACACGACCGTGCATGATCCCATCAGCCGAGGAACTGGGGCGGGGATCGCCGGCGTGGGGGTCTGGGGCTCCCCCTTCCCCCTCCCGGGGAGGGGGGAGCTGCGCAGACATGTGGCGCGGCTCGCGTGACGTCATGCTTGTTAGTTCGTTTTCCTGGGGGAGTTCTGTCCACTCGTTTGTCGATTTTTGTTGTTTAACCAGAATAGGGGTTTGTTTTGTGGCGCTTACCTTTCTGGGTGCCTGTCCCGGTCGATGGCAGATATAGAATGCTCCAAATCACATGTGCATTTCTATGGGCCATTGCTCCCCGTGCCTCTCTGAGGGGGCCAGGTTCTGGCTCGTGGTCCCCGGTAGGCCTAGAACTTCACCCACATCGACTGATGCAAAATAGTTAGGGTATCCATATCAGCCATGGATAGCTCCGGAGAGCCGTAGAGGCTCCCCCCAGAAAACAGCACTGAATGTAATAAAATGCCATTTTCTGGGCAAGTCCCAGGGGCTCCCCTGAGCTGAATGGATATGTATACACACAGAAATCACAATAGCATGATTTATCAAATGAACAAATCCACAAGGGCCATGACCATGTTGTGGTGCAGTCAACTAAGGTGGGACTCCACAAGGAGGAGTCCTCAGTCCTAGTCTTTTTAACATCCTTATGGAAAACCTTGCTACCATGACATTTACAGAGGGGGTTAAACTGCTAAGCTATGCTGATGACATAGCATTAGTCATTACAGGTCCTTCACTTCTAAATAAAGCACAAGGTGCATTAGATAAAGTAACATCTGAATGCAGCATTTTAGGGCTAAAAATATCTGCACAGAAGTCTTAGGCAATGAGACTAGGCAGCAACACTCCAGACAGGCATGTACGTATTCAAGACATTAACCTTCAGTGAGTTACACAATATCAATATCTCGGAGTGTGGATAGATTCTAAAATGACATTCAACAAGCAAATTCAATATCTGAAGGAGAAAGCAAAATCACAACTAAATATAATAAGAGCAATCACAGGGCCCCGTCTAGGAGCGGGACACAAAGTGTTAAGAATGTTTTACATACACGCCGTTCATTCCCTAGTTGATTATGCAGCACCTGCCTAACTCACTCTTTCTCCTGGTCAGTGGGCAAACGTTGAGGTCATTCAAAACGATGCATTGCGAATCATATTTATATATAAATAAATAAATAAATAAATAAATAAACAGGAGCTCCCAGATGGACTAAAATACTGAACCTAAGACTAGAAACCAAGCTAACGTCGATTGAAATAAGGGTAAAAGGGATTGTTGCATGCATGCTGACCAAGATATTGACTAGACCTAGAATCAGTTCACTTAAAGATATAATCACTAGAGCACTAACTATGGACAGAAGAGCCTCCAATAGCAACAGGTGGACCCATTGTGCGATAAACACCATCAATACATTCGATATAACAGTCACTGAGAAGGGTGTCGACGAAATACATGCAGACTTTGTTATGCAATCCCCTTGGGAATCTCTGCCAGCAGACTAAGATTATGGTTCTTGAAGGAAAAAAGAACCAGACAAATCCTCACCTGCTACGTAACATTGCACAAATGCATATAGAAGCAAACTTGGCATCTGACAGCTTCACTTACTTCACAGATGAATCAGTAGACCAGCAGGGACAAGAAACCAGAGCTGCAGTTAAAGCAGGAAACTGTAAATAGTTGGAGACTCTCAAATGGGTGTTCGACTTTACAAACAGAGATGCTAGCCATTCAAAAGGCTATGGAACATGCTCTTGCTGAACACCGACAACATGTTATCATACATACAGATTCGAGAACCGCCACTGAAACCTTGCAACAAGAACACATATGTGATAACATACATCTGATCACAAATGTCATATCATTAATGCAAACACTCAAACAACAAGGCCGACGGGTACTTATCAACTGGGTGCCAAGTCATGTGGGAATAATAGGAAATGACATTACAGACGAAGCTGCAAAACTTGCAACTAAGAGAAGAAATGTAGACATTTACATACCACAGAGTCTATCACAGATTAAGAAAGTAATTAGAAACAGAGCAATGCAAAAGATGTACAGTGACCACAACACAGCAGTTGCATCATCAGGATCTGTGGGTTGGTATAAGAATTCAACCAACTACGAACCACTTAGTTTGATGAAAGGGAGCAGTAGAGCAACAGAAGTACACTTACATCGCATCAGGCTTGGATACCCATGTGCATGAGAAATAGGCTTACAGGTTCTGGAAGATGAGAGGAAATGTCAGCACTGTGGAGAAATGCCCAACAAACCACTGGAACATTATCTAACACAGTGCACAGTTACAAACCCATTAAGATTTCAACTAAGATCCACATGCTCGGTCGACCCGAACGTGTACCAACAAATATCGTTAGTCGACGACACCATCGTATGGCGAGTCGCATTTTTCAATGAAATTTACATCATAACACGAAATTATCGCAAGTCAGGGCAATCGTAAGTCAAGGTGCCACTGTATATGCCTAGCCCACCACATTTATAAATTTAGCATTCTATAGGGTTAAAAAGAATACAGTACTGTGCTGACAACCCATAGCACCAGTGATAGTTAAAACGGTTTCAGTCACCTTCAAATTTATCTCGTCTGCATTCTCTTTTCATACTAGTTAGCAGCCAACTTGCAAGGGAACCCCTCTTTCAACTCTAGCAATGCTTAACCCTTAAAGTGCGCATCACGTCATATGACGTGCTGGACGTTGTTCCAGTCAACTGCGCATCACGTCATATGATGTGTTGGAGTACTACGCAAGATTTAAACAGCCCTCGGATACACGGGGTTCACCACACCTTTATCAGGGCTCTTGTAAACAGACGCCATTTTAAAGAAAAATCGTGGGCCTAACTCCCGGGTGTTATTGGCCTCAGTATTGAGTGAGCAACCAAGCCTGACGCACGCAGCATGAGCTAACAGCACTGCCGTTCAGCTTGTGACCACAGCATCGCCTAAAAATGCCAAATTATACTTGTTCATGCTATTATGTAGCGATGATATTATTACAGAAGACCCCTGACTGTGATAAAACTGACCAGGGTTCTGATAATAGCAGGATTGTGGTGATATTTAGTGCTGTGCGCCATGGAAGGAGGAGTAATGCTGTGGGAGGGAGGGTGGTGGCGATGTCTTTTGACTGTGTGTGGCCACCTTTTATTGACTGCACTCAGCATACCAGCTTAGTGGTTCGCTATGATGAACACAAATGTAGATACTTATATATAATGTGTGTATAGAGGGTATAAACAGCAAGAGAAGGTTTGGAGCCGCCATTTTGGTGAGGGCGGTGGCGTCGTCAGCACGACGCCACCGTGCAGACGACGGTGTTGTTTATTGGTTACCACGATGGTCTTTGGGCACCATACCAGTTTATTTGTACAAGTATGATGAATAAAACAGGTAGATATTTATATATAATGTGTGTATATAGCGTAATAACACCACACAGTATTGTTGGAGGAGAAATATTAGTGCGTCTGGCCTTGAGGGCGGCTGCCGATCAGCTGACTGTGTGAGTAGCCACATCTTTGTGCCTTTACTCACCATACAAGCTTAGATGTACAGTTATGGTGAACAAAACATGTAGATACTTATATATAACGTCTGTATATAGTGAATTATAGCAAAAACATTATTGTGGGAGGAGAATGTGGGTGAGTCAGGTGACTTGAGGGAGGGCGTGAGTGGCTGGCTGGTACAGGGCGGTCACTCCTCGTTACTTTTTGACTCATAATAGCAACTTAGTGGTTCGTTATAGTGAACAAAACATGCAGATACTTATATATAACCTGTGCTTATAGTGTAATAAGAATTTCGCTAAGAATTTCTGCGCTAAGAATTTCTGCCAATTACTATTTTAGCTAAAGAAAGGTGATACTGTAATTGCTAATGAAGTAAGATAATAATTTTTATATACTGAACTGTGAATGGACACTACCCTTCCCCCCAACCACAAAAAACTATCAGAATTAAAAAAACACCCAGCAGATTTATCTCTGCTCAGTCACCAACATCCAATATAACTAAAGCCCATTTAGTGCACAATATAGTCTCAATAAAAGTGTTCTCTTTGTTTCTACTTTTTATTCAGTCCTGTATATGAAATGTGCATGGCAATCAATTCCTACTACTGCTTTCAACAGGCATATTTTCATTCCTGCTTTCAAACCAATTTACATAAACATTTACAAGTACTTGACTAGAAATAAAAAAAAAAACAGACGATTCACACCTGCACTGGGCTCTGACTCGTCGGGTGGAGACTCGACACCTTCACTGACGATGCTGTGGTGGGTCATATTGAAGGGAAAGTCTGCAAATACAAGGAAAGTCTCTTAATGGTACAGTAATAGGCAATAAATTCAAAGAGCGCATTAAAACTAATCTTATACTGAAATCGGTCATTAAAAATAAGTCAAATAAATGGCAAATAGCTATTTCAATCTATGATCACTATGACCTTAACCACTGATATATTGATCCTAAAAATCTAACCACTTTTTTAAGCACTGTATTGAATACAACCATCTAAAAACTGTTGTTGATGTAAATTATATTTAACAATGTAAAAATGTTTCAAAATATCACCATACTGTATCCCAACTAAACAAGAGTGTGAAATTAGCAATGTATATTTGGCAATAATGTACAATAAATGTACAACCCTTTATGAATAAAGCTGTTAGTTTTTAATTTGAATTGTTCAGTAATACAACTGACTTCCAGTTCTACATGGTAATGCACATCTTGAGACCCCCATGCAAAATAGGACCACAATATATATAAAGAATATTTTAATTAACACTATTGCACTCTTCGAATGCCCCGGGGAATCCACAATTTTTCTCTTGAGTCCGAGTCGTGGACGCGAGCGGCATCCATCATTTTAAAATATTTTTGAAAAATTTCAATTTTATCCAAGCAATCTGGGAGTGGTTTTAAAATGAGCGCTTTTAGATTGCACACAACTTGATACCAAAATGAAAGAAGTAACACGAAAATTTGTGTCAGAACACTGATAAGATCTAAATAATTTTGTGATGATGAGCGTCCAAAATTTAAAATATTTGTCAAAAATTCCATTTATTGCTCTATTATTATGGGACTAGTTTTAAAATACGCGCCTTTATATTGCGAACAATTTGATACCAAAATGAAAGACATAACACGAAAATTGATGTTATCAAACTGAACGAGTATACACATTTGGTTGCGGGGTGCCAACTGGTGCTCGTACACGGGCAACTTTAGACTTTTGCGGGGAGTCACGCTGAGCTTTTGGACATTGTATGCATATACACCTGCAGGGAATTTAATTGCGAACACAATGATACCAAAATGAACGACGTAGCATGAGAATTAAGGCGAGAAAACTGAAACGAGTATACACATTTTACCGGTTTTGTGCGCTCACGGGTAACTTTTGCTGACTTTAGGCTTTGCTGTGGGGAGTCACACCGGGCTTTTTGACATTATATGCAAATAGACCTGTAGGGAATTCTATTGTGAACACAATGATACCAAAACGAATGACGTAGCACCAGAATTAAGGTGAGAAAACTAAAACAAGTATGCACATTTCGGTGTCGCCGCACGCTTGCCCGCACCGCCAGTAGTAGTCCATGCATATCTGCGGAGCGCACGCTCCATGCGCGATAGTGTTAAAATAATATGCCTTTCCAGGACCAAGAATTGCTAAATTTAATCACATTGTTATTGTGGTTCGCCTGTACTTTCTGTGTGGCATTATTCAGCTTTGGGTCAACCATGGATCCCCATGCTCCCTCTTGCATCAATGAGCACACCAGATTTTGGTTCTTGTGTTCAGGAGGCCTGTGAGAATCCAGAGGCTTGAAAATATAGTTGATTTCTCTGTAGTACCAGAACCAATGTACCAGAGAGCTACTGGTGGCTAGCTCCCTCCAAAAAGTAAACAATCTTGCCAAGACTTGCCTGAAAACTTTACTACAACTGTTCTTTCACTCCATTTTGCTGTGGCTAACTGCCCTTTGCCGAGAGGGGTCAACTGTCGCTCTCCTGATAATCTCCACTCGTGCACAGCTTCCACTACAGCAGCAATGAAGCATTCCCAGTCTGATGCAGTTGTGAAGTCAACAATTTCAAATACTTCCTGGTCCTGAAAAATGAAATTTTTTATTACAGAACATTTTAAAAGATGGTAAAAAAAATTGTCATTCAGAAAGGACCAATTAATAGGTACACCAGATTATTAAATATCTGGATCGTATCCATAACAATATGACTGAAGTTTTGGACATTCCACTGAACACAGTATTGTAGATTTCCAATGTCTGTACAATAAGTGCCTGGCAAGTAAAATGAAATAAGACCCTATTATCAGGAATACCTTGGTTAGGGTTACCTTGAGGAGCTTCCGGGGCTTAGCATCCCCGCGGCCCGGTCGTCGACTAGACCTCCTGGTCGACGGAGATAATATACATAATTTGTAATGCATACTAACAGTTCCCAAATAATGTGGAGATTAGAAGGTATATTCCGTGGAGTTCACATTGACTACACGGGATTATAATGCTTTGCACTTAATTAATTTCCCCTCCTCTGTGTTGGACAAACTTGAAGTACAGTAGTACAGAATGAAGCCATGAGGATAATTCTTGGTGCCCCAAGATGCACAAGAATCATCAACATGAAGGAAGAACTGAAGCTTCCATCCATACGAGAAAGAATCATGCAAATCAACACGACCTTAAAGTCATGAGACACCCTACATCTCCTGCATTGATGATGGTCACGTGTGTAACGTACGTTTATGTTACGTTGTTGGGTAGATTAGATACACAGTGCTTAGAGAGTTTCATATTTATTTAGTAGTCCTAGATACAGCAGTGTCGTAGACGATGAGACGAAGCCTGGAGCAGAGCATAGAGCTGAGTGTGGCCGGAGTCGCGGAGCTCTATGTGGGAGAGCGTTGTAGCTGGATGAGGTCGTAGTATGGTGTTTATAAATCTTGTTTATCTGTATCTTTTGCTACCCAGTCTCCCAATCTTTATGTACCCAATCTGAACATCTTTACCATTGTGATCATTACTGTCTTATATGTGCTGTCAATCTGCTGTATGGTGTCTATTAATCTTGTTTAAATTACTAATCAAGCTGTCAATGTAATCAATCAGAGCTTTAATATAACAATGTGCTTTAATATACTTACTTAGCTCTCTCATCTCATTTTTCTCTTGCAATGTATCTTTATCATTTATCAATTCTGATAGAAATTACCTACTTAAAATTATCTGCTAGATTAAGGACCTGCCCGAAATGCTGCGCGTACTAGTGGCTTTACAAGAATGTAAATACTGTACTATCCAATGTATTCTCACAAACCCAATGTACCTTCTTGTATATATATAAATAAATACAGTAAATAAGAATACATAAAATAAGTTTCATTACACAAGTTCGTATGATGCACAAAAACTAATGGTAGTGTATTTAGAGAAAGTCAATGAAGTCGATGTACATACAGGGATGAACAGACATTGTATAAATGTACTTGGACCCCAATTTACACAGTACAGTACTTACATTCCTGGAAATCTACAGTAAACTCAACCCTGTATTACACATAAGTTTGGGAAAAATTGGGTTATGATCCAGAGACCATTGAAAGTCCACTTTCCCTACTCAGTCTTACCTGGGACGCGGTCGGGTCAAGATACCTGCTCCGCACCTTCCCCCCCCCCTCCCCCCATGCTGGGTACTGAGATGGAGACTCAGTCACCAGAAGACATGGCTACTTCTCACGGCGTTATTAACATGGACCCTGAAAGCAGCCAGTCAGACGAGGAGGGCGAGTATCTAGAAGTTCTGACAAGGAATAAGAAGAAACGAAGAAGACAGGAGGCAAGGCGTAGTGTGGACAGTAATACACTTAACGGAAACGATAAAAGAATGAAGAACGACGCCGAGACTGATGCAGACAAACGGACGGAACGATGTCAGGAAGGTGAGGATCAGCGGAGATGGAGGCTTCTCTTCCCTGCCTCATGCACGCTGGCCTATCATCAGAAGCTGCTGTGGACCGTCAAACTCGGAAGAGAACACCGCAAGTTCGAGCCCCTGCTGAAGGAAGGTGTAAACAGACCTTACTTAACGGTAGGTTCTATGGAGGCAGTGGAGTATCTTACCCAGCAAGGATACGATGGAATTCTTATGGAAATACCGGAGGGGAACGAGAAGCTGACGAAGGTAATTATCTATAAATACCCTCAGATTCTGGACCCCGAGTTTATACTCGACGACCAACGATTTGTGTGGGCCAAGCGTCACCTTATTAAAGGTGAAGCTAGGAGTCAGGTGGTGGCTCTAGTGAGAGGTGACGTACCCGAAAAAGTGTTCATCACCGGGGCTGGCTACAGGCATGTAGCAAAGTATGTGGAAGAGCCCATAATATGCCTGAAATGCTGCAGATGGGGGCATAAATCCTGGAGCTGTCAAAATGATCCACGATGTCGTTTCTGCGGAAAGTCTCACCTCTCTACTGTGTGTAGAAACAGACTGAATCTGGGTGAGAAAATAGTTCCCAGATGCTGCAACTGTGGAGGTGTTCACAATGCGAGCTCGGCTGTGTGTAGCAAGAGGCCGAGTATGGCTGTTCTCCGGCCGGTGAATGTTACAGAGCAAGCAAGAGCTCTTACCCAGACACCGGGAGCACAGCAAAACAGTCTGCCCCAAACAGTGCCAGTGAACCGGACGAATGCGTGGGTAAAGGAGTCACCTTTACTTAGGCAGGCTCCAGCAACAAGCAGCCACGCCACCACTCAGGACTCCGGCAGTGACAGTGTAACGGTGAGTGAAGTGGCTACTGTGGCTCAGAGAGAGGGTCATAATAATATGGTCAAGGAAGTGTGGGCTGAACTTAAAAAAGTTGGTGAGTTCCTCCAAAATCTGGGGCAGAGAATCGAGTCCATCGAGGCTAAATTAAACGTTCAGGAGGTCAAGGAAAATCACAAAACGGTGAAGGATAGTCAGGATATAGTGGTTGAGGACAAAAATGAAATATTGAGTGATGAAATGAAGGAAAGTGAAGTGTGTGTGAATGATGGTAGTCGTAGTGAAAGGAAGAACCCTATAATTACACATAAAATGAAGGAATCATTTGGGCCAATAATGGACATCTCAGGGCTGAAAAAATCTCTTGAGAATCGCAATGTCGCTTTTACTGGTGAACTTGGGAGGAGGTGGGAGATGTTATACAAGGTATGGCTATCATTTAGTGAACTTATTGGGGATGACTTAGGCAATGAATTGATTAATAATGGATCACCCTAGACTGAAAGTGTTGTCATGGAATGTTAATGGTTTGAGAAACAGGGTTACAGATGTTCATTGTTATGTGATGGGAAATGATATTGATGTTGTAGCTCTCCAGGAGACAGGGGATAGGAATGAAGGATTATTGAAATTAAATGGCTATAAAGGGTTTCACCTCTTCGCCGCAAATAACATCAGAGGCACGTCGATTTATGTTAAGAACTCCATACCAGCAGAGTTAGTAGAACCGCCATCAAAAACGGAAGGTATAGAGAGTGTCTGTGTTAAATTATCATTAAGGGAAGGGGAATTTATTGTAGTTAATTTGTATGTATCCAGGAACTGCTTCGACGCTAACTATTTACCTGACTGCATTTATACTAATCCTTCACTGGTCATTGGGGACCTTATTGCTCGGCACACAAGCCTTGGGACAGTGGGTAGTATTAATACTAATGGGGTCAAGTGGTTACAGTTTCTACAAGATCATCCAGATACCTGTCTATTGGGAAACAATGAACCAACTCACATCAGGGGAGGACGGCTTGACTATGCCTGCGTTTTAAACTCTCAGGGGATTATGGGGGAGGCTCGGGTTGTTCGGGAACTACTTAGTGACCACTTTGCCTTGAACGTTGAATTACCACTGGGGAAAAAACAAGTCCACTTTCAAAGGAAAAGGCTAAATATTAAGAAAGATATGAAAAATTATTTTATTCAAAATATGGGAGATTGGTATCAACATTACACGCCGCTCTGCGTTGATAGTTTTTACGAGGACATGGTCGAGAACATAGAGAAATTAGTACAGAGGGAAAATAACGGGGGCAGGGGAAGCAAGACGCACGGACCTAAGAAATTTAAATATTCCAATGATCAGCAAGTCAAGGGATGGGAGAGAATGCTACGGGGTGCGCATAAAGCATGGTTAAAAAATGGAATGAGGGATGAAGAGAAAAATACAATGTTGGAAGTGGCTAGGGAATGCAGTCAGGTGAGGAAGGAGGCGCGGGACAGATACTGGCAAGACTTTGCTCAGGCCATTGGTAATACTAAGAACCTTAAAGACATATGGAGAGCAGTAAATAAAGTCAGGGGTTGTAAGACTAAATTCATTGCTCACTCAGATCCAGGGAAAGTTGCTAATGAGTTAGTAGATAAATGGGCAAGTGCTGCTGGTATGGAGTCCTTACCTGCAGACACGAGAGTCACCATTGAGTCATGGGAAAATATTAGAAATGGAGTAACTTTATGTGCCTTAAATACAAGATCTATAGCATGCACTGAGATAACCCACGATGAGCTACTGGATGCTATAAAAAGTGGCAGCTCCACTGCTCCGGGAAAAGATGGAGTAACGTATGAAATACTTAATTATTTAGCCGGTATGAAACCTAATCCCTTACTTGATTTGTTTAATATGAGTTATAGAGAGGGAAAGTTACCAAGAAAATGGAAAGAGGCTGTCATCATTCCTATCCCAAAGTCAAACGGAGGCTACAGACCTGTCTCCTTAATATCCTGCTTTTGTAAAATGATGGAAAGGATTTTGTTAAATAGGCTACTCTACCTTGTAGGTGATAACATGTCCAATAATCTCTTTGGTTTTATCAAAGGCAAAAGTACTGCGGATTGTCTCTTAAAGTGTTTGTCTAATGTGGATGACAATTGTAGAGTTTTTGTTGATCTACAAGGAGCGTTTGATAAAGCCAATGGGGAAGTAATCTTATACGAATTAGCCAATCTGGGAATAACAGGGAGATTGCTACACTGGATAAGGGATTACCTGCAAGGCAGAAAAGGTCAGGTGTATTACCAGGGATACATGTCTGAGGAACGGAGGTTTCAGTTAGGTACCCCACAAGGGGGAGTATTAAGTCCCACCTTATTCAATGTATTAATGAACAGATTAGCATCAGAGATGTATCCTCCAGGGGTCACGACGATCATATATGCTGATGACATTCTTATACAAGGCACTTCTGGGAACAAAATTCAAGATGCTCTTAACATACTTGGTACAACCTGTCACAAGTTAGGCTTAGTTATAAATGCAGATAAAACCAAATACGAGTATAGGAAACGAAGAAATATAACACTTACTCTAAATGGTGTGGAACTGAGCCGTGTACAGAAGTACAAGTATCTGGGCATGTATGTTGGATACACATGTGAGAGTAAAAATGCTGAAATAAATCATATCAGCACCTTATGTAAAGCCCGTCTGCATCCTCTAAAAGCACTGGCTTTTTCTGGTAAAGGTGTTGGGGTACCTATCTTGCGGATGTTATACATAAGCACTGTTCGATCCCTGATAGACTACGCAGCACCCGTATTGTCTTACACAGGCCAAGGCAGAATTCAAAAAATAGAGCTGATACAGAACGAGGCTATGAGGATTATTCTTGGATGTCAAAGAAATGCAATGATTGAAATAATGAGAATGGAATTAAATTTACAGAGTGTGTGTGATAGAGTCCGTGACATTAACACTAGAGTATCTATTCGTTTCATGCGGAGAAAAGGAGGGGATAAGCTGTTTGAGAGCGTTCAGACCTGCTTGAGTGACGTACACACTTCCAGGAAACTGAGGGAGACACGCTATACGAGAGGATTAGCTCATGACCTCAGGGAATACGACGTACTTGACTGCTGTAAACCCTCTCGAAAGTGTAATATGTCTGCTCCCTGGAAAGTACAGAAAATAGACGTCGAAATTGTACCCCTCAAGGTGAAAAAGATTCATCATGAACCGGGACAATTACGGTGTTTGTATGGAAGCATGATATCTCGGTTACCAAGAGGCAACAGTTTACATGTATATTGCGACGGGTCGGTGGCGGAGGATGGCAGGGCAGGGTGTGGTGTCCTAATAAGGGATTATACGGAGTTTGGGACTGTGGACAGGATAATTGAACTCCGGCTTAGTAATTATATATCATCCACACAAGCTGAACTGCAGGCCATTCTGGCGTGTTTGGAGGAAGTACGTCATGACGACAAAAATGTTTTTGTATTTGTCGATAGCCGAGGAGCACTGGAGTCCTTAAACAGTCGAAACCCAGTCTTCATGTCTATAGTGGAGGACTGTAAGAGAAGAATAACTGAGATACAGCTGAAAGGTTATAGTGTGAAATTCATGTGGATTCCATCTCATGTTGGAATAGAGCTCAACGAGGTGGCGGATGACTTGGCCAAACGTGCCACATCAAAACCACAAGTTGACATTGAATGTGAATTCACAATGAGACAAATAAGAAGCAAAATCAGAAATATTCAGGCACAGGCGGGAGTGGAGAGGAGAGAGATAATGTATGAGAGTAGTCAAACCATGCAACACTACATGTATGTGAGTCAAAACACCCATTTCACTTATGGTAAAAGGAGAAATGCTTGGAGTGACTCTGTGTACATGCGGCTCAGGCTTGGGTACAAATATTACTGGGAATATGGGATAGATGTTCATGGTAATGACACGAAGTGTAAACTATGTGGTATGTTAAGGTCTCACACCCTTGCCCATTATGTTCTTGATTGTCCGTTGATTAGTGTATATAGAAACACTGAGATAAGGACTGTTCCTGAACAAATAGCCTGGATGTGTCACAACGGAAAGGTTGATGATATTCTTGAGAGATATAAGAATTTTGCACCAAGATTGTAATATTTTGTTGAATTATCTGCAGGTGTCTTGCAAATTGTCTATACAGTATACCTAGGTCATAAAAGTATTTGTGTGTACGTCTGATACCATACTACTTGTGAGGGAGGAAATGTATATGTTTACCTCTCAGAACGTTTGGTAATGTGTTTATTTGTGATGTGTGTCTATGTATATATTAACACGATGTACTGAACGGGGTGAGAATAGCTTGAGCTACCTCATCCCTTTGTGTGTATTTTACCTCAATAAACTTATTTCAATTTCAATTTCAATTCAATTTCTTTCCCTACTTTTTCAATAAAACACTTACCTAAGCATTAATGGACAATTATTTAATAATCATACACAATTTCCAGCCACAAACACTACACTTAGGAGGTAGTGTGATGCAAGAATGTAATCCAAAAAGTCTGTAAAACACAAGAAGTGCTGCTTTTCACAGCCGGCCCACACACCATTTGAAACAATCTAAGCTTAACACAGCAAAGCAACAAATTGCCATTTGACCCATAAAGTCAAATAACACTCATGGTTTTGTAAACTTTTCTAGTGAATGACTTAACAATACACACCTGTAATGCATTGGAATATTCATTAATACTCTAACATACTGTACAGTACAGTATACCTATATGCAAAGAACTTGCAAGAAATACTAATGGAAATTTATCCCAAGCCCTCCTTACACTCAATAGCTGCACAAGAGCAATTGAGTGCGAGGAGGACGGACTGACAGGTTCTCGACTAGACACCAGCAACAGGACACGTTACTCATACAGTGCTACCAAAGCACTTTAGCTAAATTTCCAATTTTTACTGTTTTTTGCATAATGGATCAAACAATTGTAAATTTTTGTGCACCTATATACTGCATAGGTAAATTGACATGTCCCATACAAAATTTGCACACATGGGCCACAAAACAGTCGTATTCTTTATAAAATTTAAGAATACTGTATTAATTTAGAGATTATGAACAGCATTATGTTTTTACATTCATCCTATGATTATTTCCAAGTTGCCAGGCAAAACTATTAAATTATTGGGAAGACAGAACCAGGATAATGGAGAATTGTATTTAAGAAACTTATTTTTTCCAACATACACAAAATATATTTAGTAAAATGCTTTAAAATATGAAAGGATTTTGCTTTCGAAATAAGTGTTCAAAATTCAGAACAAGGACCCAAACTTTAATTTTTTTTCAAATATGCTGAAAACCAAACCAATTCCACATCATTACTTGGTAATATACTGCACTAGATCGTATTTTTATCCAAGTATTTAAAAAAAGTTTTAGTACAAAATAATAGTATTGTACCATAAATAGTTGGCTTATTTTAAAATACCTTTGTTTTAAAAAAATATTTACAGTACAGTATTATGATACTGAAATTGTACTAAAAATTATACAATAATTAGTAGAATAAGACTGTGTATGATCAACCCAGCCTCCCGTTTTGGTAGTTCTTACGGTAACGATGAGGACCATACTACATATACCAGCGTGCAACGCAATTAAAATGCAGAAATCGGTACTATTCAATTTGGACAAACTGGAAAAGATTTATTATTTGTCTTGCAAAGACAAACTAAACTAACCTAACCTTCCTAGGCCTAATATAGTACACATGTGTGCTATACCAGGCCTGGGAATATTTGTTTGTTTTTAAGCTTCGCTTTTTTTGAGCTCTTATAAAGTGAATAGTGCAAAATTCTATTATCTAATTGCTTAGAAAGTCAATCTTTGTACTAAAGTGCACATAGTTACAAAAACTACTATCTAAACAAGAGGATGGATTTGTATGATTTATTTCATTCAAAACATGGTGTGGACCTGTACCGGAATTAATCTCTGTGCCTAGTTTGGTCAACCTATCACTCGATAAAATAAATCTTAAGGTTTAACTGGACTATACAGTATATATAGAGGTAAATCTACTAAACTTCTGCCACATTTGACTTCTTACGGTTGGTTAACGACTGGACCGTCAGCCATCATCTAGAATAATATAGGCAGATGGATGGATGAATACAGGACGTTTCCCACAGGAAGCAACTTACATCTGGATTTTGTAATTTATTCCAATCTCATTCATAATAAATATTACAAGAAACATACTGTATAATGAGGCTACAAAAATATACAGTACAGTATACAGATCTTAAAATGAGGATCCATGGACATTTTGACTGATGCACAAAATATTTGGACAATTTTGTTCTCCACTGTTTTGGAAACTTTACCCTATTTAAATAATGGCAGCGCAAGATCATACCTGGAATTAATTATTCTCGGTTTCTTAGTTTAGTGTTTTTACTTTGAACTGAATGCTCAGGAAATTCTAATTTTAAATTATGCTAAAAAACTTCCCCAATATGCCTATTCTCTAACCTAATTTAAACTATTCTTTCTACACATTTTCAGTGTCTTGGTTGGAACAATGGAAAACCATGAGGAAGCTCTGATCTCTAGCCCCTAGGCCAGTCTGGCCTACCTAGGCTACAAATATTATCCCCCAGCGTATATTAAGCGTCCCTCAACACCTCATGACCACATACGTCTGAGTTCTGGGGCCCCATGACGGATCCCTGATGCTACAGCTGACTGGCGAGGGGGCAACAGCTGACTGGCGAGGGGGCAACAGCTGACTGGCGAGGAGGAAACAGCTGACGGGTGTAAACAACGGCGACTGACAGGCCACTCCTGCTGGTGTTCCCCCCAGCGCCACCTGTGACGCACTAGCGCGCTGACGTAGGCTCTGACGCATCGTGCTCTAGCGCCACACTTGACGCATTGTGCTGTAGCACCACCTGTGACGCATTGTGCTGTAGTGCCACACTTGACGCATTGTGCTGTAGCGCCACCTGTGACGCATTGTGCTGTAGCGCCACCTGTGACGCATTGTGCTGTAGCGCCACACTTGACGCATTGTGCTGTAGCGCCACCTGTGACGCATTGTGCTGTAGCGCCACACGTGACGCATTGTGCTGTAGCGCCACCTGTGACGCATTGTGCTGTAGCGCCACCTGTGACGCATTGTGCTGTAGCGCCACACGTGACGCATTGTGCTGTAGCGCCACCTGTGACGCATTGTGCTGTAGCGCCACACTTGACGCATTGTGCTGTAGCGCCACCTGTGACGCATTGTGCTGTAGCGCCACACGTGACGCACTAGTGATGTAGCGCCACCTGTGATGCATTGTGCTGTAGCGCCACCTGTGACGCATTGTGCTGTAGCGCCACCTGTGACGCCATTGTGCTGTAGCGCCACCTGTGACGCATTGAGCTGTAGTGCCACGTGTAGCGTACCATATAGTGCTGTAACGCCACCTCTAATAGCTACCTAGTGTGCTGTAAAACCCCGGTAATGAACTATATATCATAGTATATTTAGAGCTATGTTAAATGTAACGCAGTTAAATGTAACCTCCCCTGCCACCTGTGATTAACCATTGGGTCAACCCTCAACAGAACACAACACAACAACAGTTGCTTAACCCCCGGCCACCTATATTTACTGCTAGGTGAACATAAGCATTAAGTAGAAGAAACATTCCCATCCATTTTTGTCACGTCCGGGAATCATACCCGGGATCTCTGAGTGTGAGTCGAGAACGACTTGTATGGTAGATGCCCAATCATGAAATTACACAACTCTCAACCAAACAAACATATAAATTTTGACACTAGCTCTCCACATATGTCAGTTGCTTAATTTAGAACCTGTACTTGAGGTCGATCTCGAACCCATTGTTGGTGTGATGACTTATATTGAATTTTGTAACTAGCGCACCAAGATTGTAACTTGCTTAGCTAAATGAATTGTGGGGTTCAGTCCCTGAGCCCATTATGTGCCTCTGTAACCCTTTCCACTACCGCCCACAAGATGGGTATGGGGTGCATAATAAATGAACTAAACTAACTAACTCTCAACCAAACATTACCTTCGACCACTAATTACTCAACGTAAATCAGCAATCAGAGTTAGTTTAGTTCATTTATTATGCACCCCATACCCATCTTGTGGGCGGTAGTGGAAAGGGTTACAGAGGCACATAATGGGCTCAGGGACTGAACCCCACAATTCATTTAGCTAAGCAAGTTACAATCTTGATGAGCTAGTTACAAAATTCAATATAAGTCATCACATCAACAATGGGTTCGAGATCGACCACAAGTACAGGTTCTAAATTAAGCAACTGACATATGTGGAGAGCTAGTGTCAAAATTTATGTTTGTCCTGCACACCGCCCCCCATCCAGTGGGCAGCGGTGGATAGGTTACAATCACTTAGTTACTACCTACAGTTAGCAAACTGGGGATATTTGGCTAAAATTTCTGGTAGCAGATCATTTTGAATGAAATATTGACACATCACTGGAACATTGGTTATAGAATTGTCTCTAAATTCACGTATCTTTTCGCACTCCATCACATAGCGACGGAGGGTGTGCGAATAATTTTGTTGACACAGTTTACATTTGGTCAGGTCTACATCAGCAGATAATGACAATTCCCAGAGATACTTGTAACCGAGTCTAAGCCAAGCAGAAGTAACATCTAGAAGTCTGCTGATTTTATTGGATGATCCATAGATGTGTGGCTCCTCTTGCATGATAGTATGATGATAGATGGAATTACTGGTGTCAATTTCACTTTGCCTCAGATCTACAAGATCTTGTTGAAGTTCTCGGTGTACTGCTGCTCTCAGATTGCTCATTGACAATCCAAGGTTACACTCAACGGCTCCTTTAAAGGCAGATTCTTTGGCTAACTTATCAGCTCTATCATGCATTCGGAGGCCAACATGAGATGGAGACCACATGAAATGGACTCTGTTACCATCCTTAATAATTTTGTTGTATTTGTGTCTAGCTTCGGACACGAGCATGTTACAGTTATGTCTTAAAGAGTTGAGAGCATTTAAGGATGATAAGGAGTCACTTACAATTAATGTATCAAGTTTGGAGACTTGTACACATTTCAGTGCAAGGATCAAGGCAAATAGTTCAGTCTGAAGGATAGAGGCCCAGTTGTTTATACGGACTCCCCACTCAAAATATAAGCCATCGCCCATTGTCAGGACAACTGCACTTCCAGCTGCACCCGTGGTGCGGTGTAGGGAACCATCAGTGTATATGATTTGAGAGAGAGAATGCTCTGTGGACAGAGCATCAATATGGCTTAAGGCGTTGAGCTTTGCCTCAAGACGAAGCTTGGGCTGATCTCTAATTTGCTTCTTGGGTGGAAAGGGAGGGATTAAAACTGGAAAAGGTGCAATCAGAGATTTTACAAACTGCAGTCCGTCCTCTTAAGGTTTCCCAACGTCAAGAAAGCGGTCAACGTAAGGTGTCCTCTCCTAACCTGTCAGAGGATCCAAAACAGAAAACGGGACAGTACGTCACTTTCGCCAGCCGCTTAATTCCATTTTCGGCCTTATGTAACGCATACGAGCGAAAAACGATGTTCTTTGTAAGAGGACAGGTTAATTGCCATGACAGCACTCAGCTCCTAAGAAGTCCTTAATTGAACATATTAAGTATCGAGGCAACCCTCGAAATGTTATCCTAATGTACCTAGTAATCCTTGTCATTATAGTGTATTGTTATTATTGTGTATTAATCTAAACTTTCTTTATTGTGTCAAAATTTCTTACAATGTACCTGTAAACCTTATTTGTCAATTTTACTGGAAATTATCTACTTAAAATTATGTGTTAGATTAAGGACTTGCCCTAAACGCTATGCGTGCTAGTGGCTTTACAAGAATGTAAAATCATCATTACTATGTACTCTCTTAACCCCCAATGTACCTTCTTGTATATAAAATAAATAAATAGAGTTACTGCGCATCCTATAGGGAGCCGGTCGGCCGAGCGGACAGCACGCTGGACTTGTGATCCTGTGTTCGATCCCAGGCGCCGGCGAGAAACAATGGGCAGAGTTTCTTTCACCCTATGCCCCTGTTACCTAGCAGTAAAATAGGTACCTGGGTGTTAGTCAGCTGTCACGGGCTGCTTCCTGGGGGTGGAGGCCTGGTAGAAGACCGGGCCGCGGGGACACTAAAGCCCCGAAATCATCTCAAGATAACCTCAAGATATCCTCGCAAGTGTGCTCTACATATTTTTTTTATATCATTGTGTTGGGGGACAGGAAGCCAGAGTGTATTTGACAAAAAGGTTGGGATATTGTGTAATGTTTCTAGTGTGAACGCAAATGTAAAGTATTCATTCAGTGTTGGCTGCCTTTTTATTAATTGTTGCTTGGTTGGTCTCATCCTTTAAGGGTCCTACAGTGTCATTTGTCTTATTTTTAGTTCTTATATAGGTATAAAAATATTTTGGAATTTTCTTAATGTTTTGAGCAAGTTTTCTTTCATAGTTTCTTTTAGCTGATTTGATTTCTTAGGTAGCTGAGTTTAATGGCCTCTTGTATAACTCATAATCTGTGTGATACTGATGGAGTGATACATCTTCCAAAGGTTGTAGTTTGTTGTTACAGTTTTACTCTGCTGCCTTTGTTATCCATCTAGCTCTTTTTCGCTTCATTCTCCTTGACATTTTTTTAATGTCCGTAATGACCTTTGTAAAAATTTCCCCATGATGCGTCTATGTCTTGATCTCCTATTAACCCCCTCCAGGAGTTTTATTAATTTCTTTATTATGCGCCCCATACCCATCCCGTGGGCGGCGATGAAAAGAGTTACAGAGGCATATATACTCGGTTCTGTGGGTGGAGTCCAACCACAGGAAATTACCTCAAGCCTATAATAACTCGGCAAAAAAATCTGTTATCAGAACTATAACAAACTGTAGCTTCAGACAACACACAGCGTCTGTTTAAGTCCCTTAACATGCTAAACATACACTCACTCCACACATTCTCATGTGCTATTTACATGTACAAAACCTTGTTCCTAAATGCTAATTTTGACCTGAAACTTTTCCATGATGCGTGTAAAAGAACCCATGAGCACCACACCAGAAATAAATATTACTTTGATATCCCCCAGAGTCAGGCTAAATCTGTACAAACACTCCATGCAAATAAAAGGTCCCAGTCTTTGGCACTCACTCACTGATGAATTAAAAAAATTATCCAACCTATACCTTGTTCAAAAGTAAAAGCCAAAATTCATCCTCATAGTTTCCTACCTTGTGCTTGAAACTCACTGTATCTGTATTTAATAATTGTCTAATATCTTGTCCCTCTTCCCCAATGTTAGTGCTTAAGGCATATATCTTTAACAGTGTAATCACTTCTCTCAAATTATATTGTAGTTGTTTGTTGATATAAAACCTTGCTATAATGTACCTTTTCACCTTACTTATTAAGGCGCTGTGCGTGTTAGTGGCTTTGCAACACTATACAAATACTAATCTTATGTAATTTCTCTAACACATTGTATCTTCTTGTGAATAAATTATTATTATTATTATTATAGTTATAGTTCGTTTAGTTAAGCAAATGACAATTTTGTGAAGCTAGTTACTCAATTGTTAATATTGCATTTACATGTACATATATTAACAGCCATGTACACAAATACATATACCGGAGATATTTTGCAAGCCAACTATCCCCAGTTTGCTAACCGTTTTGTAGTGTATCTGGCGAGGAGGAGGCGAGCGAGAGGTTGCAGAGTCCGCGGGCGCGCTTTTAAATACCCCGCTCGATGCGCGCGCGCGCTACTTAGTCGGTTAGACACAAATCAAGGTAATACATTTTCTTCCCCACA